GACCCTAAAACACTACTCTGGTCCACCAGTTAAAGTGGGGGCTAATGGTGGTCAGGTGATGAATGGAATATGGGCCCAAGTTAAAATTACAGAGAGCCTAGTAGGTCTGTGAACCCAGTGGTCACATCTCCAGTTCTTGAATGTAATTGCATTAGACATACTTAACTACTGGCAGGATCCCCAAATTTCCTCTCTGATCCATGGACTGAGGGTTATTGTTGTAAAAAGGGCCAAGTAGAAGCCCCTAGAAAGTCCCCTCCTTACCAAGCCAACAGCAACAGCACATCCCTAGAGGAAATTGCAGAGATTAGTGCCCATCATCATTGGCTTGGTATCTGTCACATCTCCACTTAAATTTACCTGTTTGTCCTGTGCCAAAGGTCGGTGGATCTGAGAATTACGATGGATTACTGTAAACTTACACAGGTGAGGACTCCAATTGCAGCTGCTGTTCCAGATGTGCTATCTTTATGAGAGAAGATCAACATAACCCTTGGCACTTCATGTACCATTAGTGATCTGTCAAATGCTTTTTATCCCCTCTCTAATTTGCAATGACCACTGGAAGCAGCTTGTTTTTACATTGCAGAACTGAGACCATCTTTACAGTTTTCCCTTAGGGCTACATCAACCTCCTGTCATAATCTGCAGAGGTCGTGATCATCTTGACATTTCAGTCCATCACACTGGTCCACTTCACTGATGACATGCAGATTGGATCTGATACGAAGGTAATAGCCAGTATTCAGATGCCTTAGTAAAATGCATGTGAGGTTGGAGAGTGGGAGGTAAACCCCATAAAAATTCAGGGACTCATGCACCTTGGTGAAATTTCTGATGTGCTAATGGTCTGGAGCATGTTGCAATAGTTCTTTCCGGGTGAAATATAAGTTGCTGTCCCTTGTATCACCTCCCACTGCAACAGAGGCTTGATGCTTGGTGGGCCTTTTTGGCTTTTGGAAGCAACATATACCACATTTGAGTGTATCACTCTGACCCATTTACCATAACACTACCGGTTTTGAGTGGAGTAGAAAAGGCTCTGTAGCAAGTGTAGGGCTAGCTGCCCTGCCACCCGAAACTTAAGATCAGCAGATCCAATGACATTAAATGTGGCAAATAAGGATTCTGTATGGAACCTCTGGCAAATGCCAATAGGAGAATCAAAGCATATACCTCTAGGGTTTGGGAGCAAATCCATACCCTCTTTTGAAGTTAAGTGATTTTCCTTTTAGAAACAGCTCTGTGGCACTGGGTGCTGCGTGATCCAGCAAGCCATAAGCTGGAATGTGCACAGCAGCGATCTATCATCAAGTAGCAGTGGTATACAAGGGAGAGAGATCAAGCAGGTCTAGAATGCATAAGCAAGTTGCCTGAGTAGGCGGCTCAAATCCTTTGACACCTACTCCTGTTACAAGGCTTCCTTTTTCCCAGTCTTTACCTCTGGCTGCATGAAGAGTTCCTTTTGACCAGCTGACTAACAAGAAATTTAGGTCTGGGGGCGCCTGGGTGGCTCAGTCATTAAGCGGCTGCCCTCAGCTCAGGTCATGATCTCAGGGTCCTGGGATCCAGCCCCGCATCGGGCTCCCTGCTTGGCGGGGAGCCTGCTTCTCCCTCTCCCACTCCCCCTGCTTGTGTTCCCTCTCTTGCTGTATCTCTGTCAAATAAATAAAGAAATAAAATCTTTAAAAAAGAAAAAGAAATTTAGATCTAGTTTACAGTTTATTTTGCCTAATAGGCTAGTGCCAGCTGGGATCTGCAAAATCTGCTGCAGCATTACAACCTCCATCAGGTATGTCTCGGAAAGATCCCAATGAAGGGACATCTTCCTGAGGAGAATCCTGAGCGGTACAATTGCTTGTCTGCTATGTCTGAACTGAGTACTACCCAGAAGTATGGATCGAAACTCTAGTATCCAAGGGCAGTTACTAATGGTTTGATGACTGTTCAGGACTTGGGAAGAACAGATATATAAGACAAGTGACAAAGTCTGGGGGCGAAGTATATAGATGGACCTCTCAGAATAGGCAAGAGAATTGAAGATTATTGTGCTCCAGGTGAATGTTCACCAAAGGACACTGTACATCCATAAGAATGTACTTTGTAGACATTCGACTATAGGGAACATAACCATGAGCCCCAGCTGTTGCACTATGAAATTCATCACACCTGTGTTGGTTCAAACGCCTCCCATGGGCTGCTTCCAGCAAATGATTGAAGAGTAGCAGGAATACTAAAGTATATATGGGTCTCTCGTGATAGCTGACCCTGGCTTGAGGACCCCTTGAAGAGCTTGCTGAACCTAAATTAAGACAGAGGAGGTTCTCAGTAATCAGGGCAAGATGACATACTTTGTAGCAATTAGCCTCTTTTTCCAGTCATCTTAATGACTGCTCAATGGGCCCATGTACAAGAGTGGCTATGTTGGCAAGGATGGAGGCTTAAACATAGGCTCAGAAACATGGACTTCCCCTCACCAAAACTGACCTACTGAGTGCTTGACCTGCCAATAGCAGAGACCAGAGACCAACACTGAGCCCTGATATGGGCACTTAGTGGCAGCTTACTTACATTAGATCCCTTCTATCATGGAATTGATAGCAATTTACTCTCACTGGAAAAGACATTAGCTGGGTATGGCTTTGCCGTTGGTACTTCTGCCAGCCTTATTATTTTTTTTAAAGATTTTATTTATTTTTGACAGAGAGAGAGACAGCGAGAGAGGGAACACAAGCAGGGGGAGTGGGAGACGGAGAAGCAGGCTTCCTGCAGAGCAGAGAGCCCGATGTGGGGCTCAATCCCAGGACCCTGGGATCATGACCTGAGCCGAAGGCAGATGCTTAATGACTTAGCCATCCAGGTGCCCCATCTGCCGGCCTTATTAACTGTCATGGAATAGCAAAGGAATATGTGCTGACCTATTCACCCACTTCAAGTAGCCTTTGGTGGCTTAGAAAAGTAGCTGTCAAAGGTCCACATGCTCAAGTCAGTTTTAGAAAAAAAGCTATTTATATTTTCTTTCCCACCCATGCTTCCCAATGCTCCACAAGAGTTCTGTCTGCCAATTTTGAGCCAGCAGAGGCTCAGGTGGGTTTTTTTTTTTTTTTTAAGATTTATTTATTTGAGAGAGAGAGAGAGAGCGCACAAGCAGGGAGAGGGGCAGAAGGAGAGGGAGAATTCTCAGATTCCCTGCTGAGTGCAGAGTCCACGTGGGGCTGGATCCCAGGACCCCAAGATCATGACCTAAGCCAAAATCAAGAGCCTGCCGCTCAACTGACTGAGCCACCTAGGTGCTCCTCAGGTGGGGCACTTTTAATTTGAACTATAAATCCTTTTTCTAGAGATGTTTAAAATCAGGTATTTGGCAAAATCTGTGGTTAAATTTACTTTCAACCAATCATGCACAAAGAGTGACATCTGCTGGTCATACAGATTATATCTTTATCCTGATTCTTTTTTGCAATTGACCAATGACCTTAATTATATAGTAAAAATGTAAGACAATTCTCTCTTTCTTGGGAGAAAAAGAAACCAACACATGACTTGTAAGTGCCAGTGTGTACCATTGTGGGAAATTTTTTTAAACTAAAAAATAAAATCTAAGTTTCTTTATTTTAGCAGACACTGCAGTCTCTTTAATTTGATCAGGGAAAATAAACTGTTGTAGAATTTGAAAATGAATTCAAAACTCAGCTATTCCCTTTAAAATATCCGTTGGGTTTTTGTTTCATAGCAGAAATTAATGAATTTAGTTTGAGAATTCTAGTGGACTTAATGAAAGACTGGCCATCAAAGGTCCTTTCCTTCTGGCATTGTGTCCTAGTCCTGCTTTTCTGTATTGTTAATTTCCATGCTTCGACATGCATACATTGCTTCCATCCTTCTTCCTTCCTATCTCTAGATACACATACATATGAAACTTTATACATACTCTTCCAGATTTATTCCTATATTAGCTGTGGAAATTCTTCCCACTGCTCTTGATGTTAGATTATACTAGAAAAAAATTAGGAACTTATATTTTGTAACTACATTTTTAGATGAAAGTCATGTTTTTGTTTATTGATAAGAGTACTTTGATGGATGGTGATCAAGTTGAGTTTTGTGTAGAAAAGACAAACTTCAATTTGCAGTACTCGGGTGGCACCTGTTAGATTCCATTCCCCTTGTCTTTTTTCTCCAATTTTTCACTATTAGAAAAATGCTGTAATTACCTGTTTTATAAATCAAACTGTGGATATCCCTGATTCTCCCCAGGATGTAAATTCCTAGAGGGAAAAATCCCCAATCAAAGGGCTACGAATAATCAACAAAGGAACTAAAATTAATACTACAATAAAAAATTGGGAATAGTAGGAAAGGAGATGAATGTTTTATAAATTCAGTAATTACTTATTATCTAGAGGAGTCAATATATAACTTCTAAAGCTGATAAATCAAAACTGGCCTATGTGGGGGAGCCTGGCTGGCTTAGTTGGTGGAGCACACGACTTTTGGTCTCAGGGTTGTGAGTTCGAGCCCCATGTTGAGGGTAGAGTTTACTTAATTAAAAAAAAACAAAAAACAAAACTCAAAACTGGCATATGTGTTTGGTATAAACACATTACTTAGACATAAGGGTGGAACCACAAAATGTTAAAGCAGAAATGGTTAAGTAATTGGGCAAGAGGGCGCCTGGGTGGCTCAGTTGGTTAAGCGACTGCCTTCAGCTCAGATCATGATCCTCGGGTCTTGGGGTCATGATCCCCACCTCGGGCTCCCTGCTCAGCAGGAAGCCTGCTTCTCCCTCTCACAGTCCCCTTGCTTGTGTTCCCTCTCTCGCTGTCTGTCAAATAAATACATAAAATCTTAAAAAAAAAAAAAAGAATGAAGGCCCCTGAGCTTATGCCAGATCTGCTAAATCAGAATCTCTATGGTGAGGCTCTCGGATCCTCTTTTTAGCAGCCTCAATGACTTGGAGTCCTGCTGTAATTTAAAAAAAGACAAAGAGTGACTAATAGGATATTAGGACATTTATTAATGTCATGGTATTTAGAGCATGGGAGCTAGAGGAATGGACATTGTAAGACTAACTCCAAAGAATACATTTAAAAGTAAATCTTATATAAACTAGAACCATCCCTTTTCCAACTATAACATTTCATAATCCTTTTCTTATTGCATTAGCCTAACCATTGACAACACTCACAGAGACGTGGGGACTCTGTCATTTTGTCCTTCAACTTTTACTTTTAACATGAAGACGCATGTTCTGGGAGACCTCTCTTCTCTGGGATCCATTCCTAGCCTATTGTACCACTTAGGTGGATATTCTAGTGCTTGTGTGTCTTTTTATGTATCACATCAACAGCTTCAACAGATACTTGGAAGAATTCTATGTATCCACTAGGTGGTATTTAATCTTTTCTGCTGCCTGTGTTCTTATTCTCAAAACTGTGAAAATTAAAAGTTACACATGCTAAACTTTTTCTTGGGATTTGGTATGCCATAAATATAAAAGAGACACAATTTTACAATAAAATTAAGAATATATTAAAAATGTATCAGCTCACAGTGACTTCTGCTGTAGCTGTAGCTTTTGTTCAATGATGTCTGAGAAACGAGGAACTTTTTTTGAAATAGCCACACGAATGTCATCACTCATATTAAAGCAGCTTCTGGACTTTGTTTTAAAATGTAAAAGTGATGAAAATCCCAACTCACAAAGGTATGTAGTTGCAAATGGTATAAGGATTTCTAGAGCTGTCTTTGCCAGGCTTGGAAACACTGTGAATTGAGCACACCAGAAATCCTCAAGCTTCATTGTCTCAAATTCCATTAGGATTTGGCCACTAGCTCGTAATTCAGCAAGATCAGTTTTCATCAAATAACCATCATCGACAAAATCCAGATTAAAAAGAAATGGATCCAGTATCCACTTACTTGCCTCAGCAAGATCTCCAACAGAAAAATATCCATGGAAGAAGTTGCTCAGCTGTTGCAGGTGCAGTGTTATTTCAGCTGCAATGCTTGGTGCTTCATTATCTGAAACAATGATTTCTTCAAGAAGAGGAAAGTTGGTAAAATTTCTCTTCTCAATTCGCTTTAGCCAAAATGGAAACTTCCTAACAAAAGCAGATAACTTTTCTCTAGCTGACACTGTGTTCATCCCAGTCCTTTGCATAGATGCACTAAGTTCATTCAGGTGTTTGAATAAATCTGCAAGGTATGCTAAGTGAACTTTAAACTCTTTATTTTCAAAGCCATCAACTAAGTTACTGCTTTGGTGGTGAAGAAACTGATTTATTTCTTCATACATTTCAAAAATATGGGTAAGTATTTGACCTCGGGAAAGCCACCTCATTTCAGTATGGAAAAGGAGGACACTATACTCGATTCCAATTTCTTCAAAAAAAGCCTGAAAGAGGCGATGATTTGGAGCGCGTCCTTTGATGAAATTTATTACCCTCACCACAGTAAACAGAGCATCTCTCAGTTTTGTAGGCAAGGTCTTTGTGACAAGGTCATGAGGATTCAACAAACAATGTGTGATCACGATGTGAGGTGCCTCTTTTTTCACACAGGCAACAAATTCTGAATTTTCTGCTAGCATAGAAGAGGCACCGTCAGTACAAACAGAGCCACATACATCAAGCGCTATCTTATGCTTCAAAAAGAAGTCTCTGAAGAGATTGAACACATCTTTTCCTTTCATTGTTAACTGCAGTGGTTCACAGAACAGAAATTCTTCTATGATTTCTCTTTCTTTTATGTATCGTACAAATGCCATTAGCTGACTGCAGTCACCCATGTCCGTTGTCTCAGCAAGCTGAATACCCACTTTCAGAGGACTGGCTTTGATGTCCTCTAGAACTTGCTGTAAGATATCCTGGCTCATTTCATCAATTCTAGAATGGATCACATCATCTGATAAGGGTACCTGCTGAAGCTTCTTTTGTGCATCTGGTCCCAAAACTATTTGTGCTATTTCCAATGCACAAGGTTTTACTAATTTTTCAGCTATTGTATGAGGATTCTTCTCCTTGGCACATAAATATGCAAACTGATATGATGCTTGTAATAAGGCATCCTCGTGAGATGCAACTCCAAATGTTTTCAAGGTTTCACTCTGATCAGATGGTGTTGGCATATGCTTCAGGCTACTGAGATCATGCCCACCTACACCACCATGCTGTCTGTTAAAATGGTCAGACAATTTTGATGGTCTGAGGTCAGCATTTGAAAATATCGAGTTACACAATACACACTGTGGGCGCTGAGTTCCATCAACCTCTGTTGTACAGGTGAACCAGTAACGAACATAGTCATCATCCCATTTGCGTTTCTTCGACATGGCACCCCAAAATTCTCAGGTAGTATTCCAGAGATGCTGCAGAATTTTGCTTTGGGAGTAAAATATATAAAAATCACTGGCTAACCAAATTAAAACAAAGCCACATCACATGCCATTTGTACATGTAAAGAAATATCCTGTAATATGTCAGTTCAAAGTAAACCATGACAGCATGACAGTCCAACTTAAAGCTATCAACTCACAGCTAATGCCCGGGGATAAACAACTTACCAGTAAGCTACATATGGGAGATTTGGACTTATGTAGGTTGTGAATACGCGTAAATCCTCTATTGGTGAACTGAAGTTATGGCTTCATTTGTTTTCAATGATGTATGTTCCAAACAAATCTGGTACATTTTGTATCCCCTAAAAGGGCATCTCACTACCACCCCCTCCCCCTCCTTTCATTCTCCGCCAGGGCTGTACACACACAGGCAGTTATGAGCAACTGAATAGAGAAGGGCGTAATTCATTAAATACTCTAAGGAAGGACATATTTTGACATAGTGGCTAGTTCTTTTTCATAGTTAAGGATTAAATAGGTCTGTAATACTATTTGATCCTGGACTGGCTCTGACTCCAATGTAAGCAGAGAATTTCAAATGGGTCTGATTAAGTCGCCTTTGACACAGAAGTAGGATACAAACTTGGCTCAGAGCTTCCTTGCAGCTAAAGTGTAACACACTACCAGTCCATGATTCGTATTGTCCATACAGAAAAGCAAAACAAGTTGTTCAGGAGAAATACAACTATTTTTGTTACTGAGACTTGAGAAAAATCTCTCTCATAGAAGAACACCCTTAGTTACAGTAGGAATTTCATGATGCTTTTTCATATAACTACCCCTCAGTAAAAGCCGTCAAGAAAGAAGCTGAAACAATGGAATGAAAACAAGCAGTATTCCCAAAATTAAGATTTGTTTTAATCTGAGGACAGGGATTAGAAGGTAATGGTTCCTAGGTTAGCAAATGGAGGAATCAGTGAAATCTTTTGCTAAAATGTAGATTCATGGTCCCAACTCCCAGAGATTCTGATTCTCCAGCTCTATACTAGGGGCTCAGAATCTGTATTCTACATAGGCATTTTGGATAATTCTTATGAATGGTAACCAGAACAGTAATCTTTAATAAGAGATGCTCATCACAATCATTAGGAACCCCTTTGAAATTATACATCTCCCTCCCTTAGAACTAATAAATCGTCTTCTCCAGAAGGAGGACAAAAGACTCTAAATCTTGGGGCATCTGGCTGGCTTATTTGGTAGAGCATGGGACTCCTGATCTTGGGGTGGTGAGTTTGAGCCCCATGCTGGGCACTGAGATTACTTAAAAAAAAAAAAAAAAAAAAAAGACTCTAAATCTTGTCCAGGTGATTCTAATACATGTCCTAGTGTGTATCAGATTTAGAGGAATGAAAACATATCCTTCAGGCCAACCACTAGGTTGCTGATATGCTAGGTTGGTAAATAAAGTCTAAATGCTTTAATAGGCATTTAAGTTTCCAAGTTGATAACAACCTCCTAAGAAAGTTGAGGGACCTAGAAAGTCATGCCTTTTCTTCTTCTTCCTCCTTAGCAATGAGCAAAGGTATAACCCACAGGTAGGCTCAAATATACCTTCGAAAACAGTTCTATCTCCCAGATAAACAAGCAATCCCCTAAGTTTCTAAAGTTCTATACTACAGAATGTGGTGGAAATAACAGGGACACATTTAAATCCAAATGCCCACTTTGGCCATAAAAAAAATCTCACAATAAGTAAGGCAAGAATATTAACTTAAAACACTAACTTTCTAGTGGCTCTGCCACAGTTAGCTATAAAATGAACTTCTATGTAAGCTAATAAGTTGACATGCCATATGGCTGTTTGTTACGAGTCAGTTAAAAACTGGAAGGTACCTACCCATCAATAAAGATGATTTGAAGTTTAAAAGTTAAATCTTAAGCTTTCTTTAGTCAAGTGATGACAATAGGGCCAAATGTGTTTAGAACCTCTCCTAATTGATAGTAAAATTATGACACTGGCATAAAAAAATGCTTATCTTTCTATATTCTCTTATGTATATTTACCATGTATGTTTTGGGGAGCAGGGAAGTGAATGAAAAAGCTTTGCTTCAGTCTCATTAGAAATTATTACAGGACCAGTTAAGAGTCCGTTCCAATCCACCTTGACTATGCTACTCAAGTATGTTTTGATTGAAAATTTGCCTGTTTTGAACAAAAGGTTTTTTGGAAAAATTCATTTACAGTAGTCCTCCTCATCCCCCTCAAAATGGGAGAATAGGTAGCAAGAATTTTCAAGATTCTCAAAGAGGCATTTACCGCCCAAGAGGCTTTCTTGTGTTTTAGAACCTCACAATTTTCACTTACTCTTCTGTGGTATTTAGTAATCACAATATCCTAAGATATGTAAACATTAAAAAAGCATCATCATACTAAAAAATTACTGTTAACTGGGGCACCTGGGTGGCTCAGTCGGTTAAGCATCCGACTCTTGGTCTCAGCTCAGCTCTTGATCTCAGGGTCATGAGCTTGAGCCCCACGTTGGGCTCCATGCTGGGTGTGGAGTCTGCTTATAAAATGGGGAGGAAAACAAAGAAAAAGAAGGAAATTATTGTTAAACAGATGTGATAATGGTATGTTTGTGTGGAAAAAAGTACTCATTTATTAGAGATACAGACTTAGTTGTTTACAAGTGAAATGATAAGACATCTGGGATTTCCTTTGACATACTGTACTTCAGCGTACACACGCATGCACACAGTGGGGTAGAGACAGAAGACATAAGAGACATAAGATGGGCCTTGAGTTGTTAATGAAGCTGAATGATGGGTATGCTACATTACACCATTCTCACTATTTTTATATTATGTGGGGGAATTTTCCATAGTAAACAGTAAAATAAACAAAAGGCATGACCTGCTTTAGACAGAATTCGTTTTTAGAATGATTCCTTTGAGAGTTTGAGAGATATCTTAAGATGCAGTGATAAAACAAAGTAAAATGTTTTTGCAAGTTTATGAGGTATAGGGGTAGACAGGAAAAAGTATCACTGATGAAAAGCCAGTTAAAAGTGAACATTCACATAACAGAAATCTTTGGGAAATGCTAAACTATGTGTTTCAGCAGTGACAACACCCAAGTGCAGTTGTAAACCTAAAACTCCAAACCAAACCCAGTTCAACTTCTATCTCGCCACTGCCTCTTCCAGTCCAAGGGAGGTGCGGCTGTCATGGGGACGGGATTTCCTTAGTACGCTTTGCAATTAAAGGCAACAGCCAGGAGAAAAGGGACGGAAATAGTGGCTGAGCAAACGCTCCAGGGGCAAACGCCTGGGCTCCTGGCTTTGTCACCTGGAGGCTGGGTCCCTTCCAAGCCTCGATTCCTCAAGTGGGGATGACAATAGTACCTACCTTAGAGGGTTGTTGGGAGCTTTAATTATGAAGCGTGCATGTAAAGAACATGCAGCTCGTAACTGGTAGGACCTGTTGGTGTATTATTAAAGACGGCGCGTTCGGGAAGCAGCTCGGGCGAGCTACGGGCGCCGGCGGCGAGGAAGGACTCCGCTCGGTCTCCACCCGCCCGTCTCCGAGCCTGGGCGCAGGCCCAAGGGATGCTCGGGCTTCTTTCAGTCGCCCGTCTCCGGCTCCAGGTCGCTCTCCACTCGGGCTGGAGTCAAGCCACTAGGCGCCGGAACAAGTCAGGGCCGCGGCTCCTCAGGTCCGGTCCCCGAGCAGGAACCTGCGGGGCGCGGGGACACAGAAGCTTCCGCCACGACCTCCACCCCAGCCGCGCCGGGGTTCCATCCGGGTTCTCCGTGTGGCTGGCTTCCCGCCCGCAGACGGGCTCTCCCCGCACGCAGGCGCATTAGCCACCGGCTGAGGCCTCTGCAGGCTCGAGTAAGGAGCATGCGCGTTGGCCCTCTCCAAAAAAAAAAAAATTTTTTTTTTTTTTAATTGAGTACGTGGAGCGGGAAAAGTGTCTGCCGGAAAGGATGACACTTTTGTGTCTTCTTTTGTGTCTGCCGGAAAGGATGAATCGTAGAATCCAAGGAATGGAAAGTACGGTAAAGTCCACATAGTTCTTCAGAGCACCGAAATAAATTTTGTAACACCCTAATAATTAGCATTTTCTATGTGTGATCAAGGAGTAAAGAGAAGGAAGCTCATTGTATTCCCAAGTTAAACACTGAGGCAAATGCGACAGGCTGTTAACTCCATGAAGATACTCACAGTGGAGACGAGCTTCTAGAGCTTGCGTCTTCATGTCTATGCAGATTATTTCTTTCCATAAATTAGAGCGTGTGAACGAATTCCCTCAGAATCACTCATTTTAGAGAAAAGTTTCAATTTTATTTAAAATTCATTTTAACATGATCTTAAAGTTACAAACCCATATTGGAGAGATTTTAGAGGAAAAATCCCAAAGTAGAAACTAGAAACTCAAGCTTAGACCTCCTTCCTGTGTGTGGGGTATTTACTAACAGAATTGTTACAAACTTAATGAAAGAACGATTTATTCATTTTTGTATAGTCAGTCTTGTTAGAAGCATCCCACAAGGTTGGGGAAAGGAATAGAATCAAAGAATGGGACAGATGCATCATTTTCAGGTGTTGAGGGTGAACCTGGTAGACTGAGGCCTGCTTAAGGTTTCTGTCAAAAGAAGAAATTGCAAAAGACCAGTCTTCCTAGTCCAGAAAGCAGGGTCTTAAATACTAGAGAAAGGAGTAGGCTTTAAGAGTCAAAGATACTTGGCTTTATGTCCTGGCCCTAACACTTTTAACTGTCAGGACTTGAGCAAGCTACATGGACTTGTTAAGCCCATGTGCTTATTGTAAAATAGGGGTATTATCCATTACCTTATAAAGTTCTTTTGCAGAGATAACATACAAAAATTACAGTACATGGTTTCAGCACTCAAAAGGCAGCTATTATTGAGATAATAAAATCAAAGTTCACAGGCGCCTGGGTGGCTCAGTTGGTTAAGCGACTGCCTTCGGCTCAGGTTATGATCCTGGAGTCCCAGGATCGAGTCCCGCATCAGGCTCCCTGCTCAGCGGGGAGTCTGCTTCTCCCTCTGACCCTCTCCCCTCTCATGCTCTCTATCTCATTCTCTCTCAAATAAATAAATAAAAAATCTTTAAAAAAAAATCAAAGTTCACATAATGAACAGTGTTCCAGGTGTTATCTTTGTTTTCCAAAATGAAGCAGAAATAAGACATTACAGAGTTCTTCCTAAAATCAGTAAATTAGGTTTCACAGAAGAGGGAACAGAGAACCAGAAAAGTTGACACATTTTTTTGTTAAAGATCCTGAAATTTTCTAATTCAAAACCCCTCCCAGTCCCATAAACTATTTTTCTGCCAAATATTTGAAATACTACAAACCAGTTTTCTTAATTATGTATCTTTATTTAAACAAAAGATAATAAAATACAAAATAGACATTAATGTCAGACTTTATGTTGAACCACTCCATGTTAAGGTAGGAATATGAAAACGTAAGTCATCGACTTTCTTGAAATAGGTAAGAATGAGCTCTGTTTGCACTGCTGTTTTAATTTTGTACCAGTTTGAATCTAGATACTGTATCCATAGTACCTGACAATTTGTTACTCTCTCAGCAGCACAATTTCTTGGATGGTAATGTGGTATCCCAGTGGGTTTTGGTATCTTAGAGCTGTTAAAAGCCAATGTACTTATGTCAGGTGTTTGAAACAGGCTGTTTTCATTGATCCCACTCTCACTGTATTATCTTCACAATGTTCTTAGGAGAGGTCTGAAGATCATGGCAATCTCGGTTATTAATAGCCCTATAAGCTATCCTTATAATTCTTTGAAGAAACCTTCAACTTCAGGTTTTGCTTTCTGCAATTTTTACAAAAAGACACCTGCTTGCTATAAAGATTAGGTACAACGGATATTCTACAATCTTTTAAAATTTAATATTCATGATTATTACATAAAGGCAATCACAATTAAAACAACAAATAGTATCACAAACCATATTCTCTATGATAGAGGAAAGGGTTTGTGTCTAAAGGCTCATGTCCAGAATGGTAAAAGACCTAGTACTGATCAATCAACAGTGACTCAAAGATGACAAAACAGTTATTTTTCCATTCAAAGGCTAATCCATTTAGTTCTGGATGTAAAGTACAAGGAAATGTTTTAAAAATAAAAATTTTAGGGCCCCTGGGTGGCTCAGTTGGTTGGGCGACTGCCTTCGGCTCGGGTCATGATCCTGGAGTCCTGGGATCGAGTCCCACATCGGGCTCCCTGCTCAGTGGGGAGTCTGCTTCTCCCTCTGACCCTCCCCCCCCTCATGTGCACTCTATCTCTCATTCTCTCTCTCAAATAAATAAAATCTTTAAAAAAAAAAATTTATAACCAAGTAGAAAACAGAATTATTACTATACAGATTGACATGGGGGATAAAATCATTCATATGTTCTACAAATTTCCTTTCAGTAACTCAACGCCCAACATAGAATAATTTTTTTTAGCTTTAGACCAGGGAAACCTTAGAACGCAAAAACAAATGATACTCAAATAACTACAATTATAGTTACTAGTAATTTGAAAAAATGAAATGTGATTTTGAGAAAGAGTAACTCATATGCCTTTAAAATGTGTGCTAACACTAGATAAAGGGCCATAAGAATTGAGGAAATAAAGTTTGAGACCTTATAAATGTTGAGGAGAAGATGTTCTTGCTAGGTAGAGAGCCAAGGCCTCTTTCCACATCACCTAATATAAAACTGGAAATAAAATTTTAATATACACTTAATGTACTTCCTCTTTTTCTTCTTTGTTTCTTCAGTGTGTAAAGAAATGAATTTGCTATGAGACTTCCGGAGTCTTTATTAAAGTAGGCAGCAAGAAGAGTAGTCATGGGTTTTTCCATCTATAATCATCAGCGAGAAGCTGAAAAGAATGTATCAGCTGTGTCTACCTTGGAAGACTGTCTATAACTAGTTACTACTGCCCAAGGAAGGAAGCCATGGGGTCATCTGGTCTCTGACGTTTCATTCTATAGGCCTCCATTTCCTCTTCAGTGGGTTCCCGAGTTTCATATATGCTATTGTAAGGCCGCTTCCTCTCATCAATCTGCATGATCTCCTTGACATGAAGAAGGCGGGCCTCCTCTGCATTCAGTGCCTACAGTGAGAGGGAGAACATGAGTACCACAGCTTTACATCAGATCTCTTCTGTTCTAAAGTAAATACCAAAAGACCCCACTGAATATAAATCACTCTATCAAAAACCTAGATTGTCTGAAAGAGCTTGAGCATCAGCCCTTCTACTGACAAGGTATAATCACTATTTGGCTGATACAATATTTTCATGTAGCACAAAACATTCTACCACATTTTCAATGTTAAAATTTTACTTAATAACAAAGATTCAATGAGATTCATTTTACTAACAAGTCCACAACTGATGCTTCTGGTGGAAACTACAATTCTGACTTTTCCCAAGGACTTGCTGAAATTTACAAATTATAGAGCTAAAAGGCAATTCTTTCTGGGCAGTCAATAACTCTAAAATAACAGCTTTACAAAACACATTTCTTCTGTACATTAGTGATATTTATCAAACATTCCAAGAAGACGGCAATACTGAGACACACAAAAATCTCCATTTGCATTCTAGACCTGATACAAGGTAACCTAAACAAATCACCCAAGCTTGGGGCTTGTTTCCTCATTTTTAAAAATGAGCTTGGGGATAGGACTAGATAATTTCTTAAGGTTGCTACAAATAAAGAACCCTGTCATCACTTTGACTATTTAGAGCTCACAAAGTACCTTTTTCAATTTTTCGTGTTTCTTTTCTTCATCATCACTATCTGAAGTGCTCTTTCGATGCTTCTTTTTCTTCTTCTTTTTCTTCTTCTTATCTTCTTTTAGTTTTTCCTGATGCATCTGACAGGAAGGATTGAAATCTACAGTGTTACTAATGCAAAAACAAAGCTCTGGCGTAAATTTTAAAGTCAGCGTTCCAGGACTTAATTCAGGACAAATGATTATAGACTTACCTCCATGAGGGTTTGAGGTTTTTTCACAGATTCTTCTCCGGTTATATCATTTATAATACATTCCTCTGAATTCTGTGGGAAAATATATGTAATTTGACTTGCGTATCATAGTTACCATCATTGAAGAAAAAGTTAAAATTTGAAACATGAGACAATATGTTTCCTACAGATTTTGACTTAAAGAGCTTTGGCTGTTTTACAGTTTAAGAACTAGAAGACAATTACTTACAGCAATCTCCTTGCCAGCTTCTCCAGTGCAATAGGAATACTTGAAAAAAGAGTGACAGCATTTGTATCCCCATCGGCCTTCTTTCCAGTAAGATCCCCAGATATGCTGCAGAGAGAGAGTTGTTACTTAAAAGAGGAACCTGAAACTGGGGACTCTCATTTACTGTTGAGACGAGTACAAACTAATACAGCCCTTTAAAAGGTAATTTGGGAGGAAAATTATGGGAATTCCAGGGCTAGCTAACAGGGAAAGGGTGACCTGACCTCAAGTGTAAGAAGCAGCCATTAGATTATAATGGTCTCACATTCCATTCCTAAAACTGCAAAAAAATTTAGGATTATCTGACTTCTCTTCAAAAATTAAGAACAACTGGGAAATTCTGGGCCCACAATCCCACTTGGCAAGAATTGGCTGTTGCTGACCAGTGGATGCCCCTTTTAGACAGGGTTTGTGCTCTCTCATTTGTATAATGTGCCTGGCTCACTTCGCTCATATACAATTACTGGCCTGGCTCCTATAGGTAGTTCAGGTTTTGATCCAACTTAGACAATTGTAGTTTGAGTACTTCAAGAGTACAGCAAGTAACATGTTTTATGACGTGATGCAGAATTCATCATAAAAAAGTGTGAATTATGAATTCTGCATCACATATGTTCTTGTCAAATTATTGAACTTATAACTAATCATGTCTTTAGCTCTGAATTCTTGTTTATAGGAAATGTAGAAGACAGAGGAATAAATTGTATAGTACCACTAGGAATTAGTCAATCACAGAATATGACACAGTTTACAAAATAACTGGCCTGATCTGTTTAAGAGTTACTATTATGAAAAAGGGGAGATAGAGAAAAAGATACATAACCACCAAAATGAACTCTGATTGGATTCTGATTCAAAATGAAAACAAACCACCTATTTAAAGGCATTTTTGTGTATACTTTAAGTAATGTGATTAAGAACTAGAGATTAGATGATATTAAGGAGTCATGTCAATTTTTTTTTTAAAGTGTGACAATGTTAATATAGTTATGGTAGGGAATATCCTTAATTTTAGGAGTTACATGATACAGTTTCTGTGGGTGAAATATCATAATATCTGTGATTTTCAAATGTTTAGTTAAAAAAATACAAATATAAATTTTATACATATATTATATACACATGCATACACACACACATGCTCCAGACAAAGCATATATGGCAACATGCAAGAAGTTTCTTAATCTAGGTAGTGGGTATGTGGATGAACATAATAGTATTCTTTCACATTTTTTGTATTTTTGGAAAAATTTCATAAAACAAAATTAAAATGTAAAAAAAAAAAAGAAAACAAGCATGATTTGCTAATGAAGTTGTAATAAGAAAATATAACCCAGAGCAAAATGCTAACAAGGACACCAAATGGTTCTGGTTTAGCACATACTGTGTGATTGTGGATCTTCACATCCTCCTCATATTTAGAGCAGGCGACAGCCCGCTCCTGTCCTTTGATGACTGTCCCATGCCTTGAATACTCCACATAATCTTCAGTCTGAGCTAAAAGCAATTCAGCTGGAGGGGCATCCAAGTGTTCTTGGCCACCATACTAAAAGAATATTGAACATTATTAAATATATTTTACAGCAAAGACTTGCACTCAAATCTCTATTGATGGGTTTATTTCCAATCAGAAACATTAAAAGAATATTCATTATGGCCTTTGTTATACAAAATACAGTAAAAAAAAAAAAAGCCATAAAATTTTTATAGGGAAATAAAAGATGTCTCCAGTTGCTATTCATCTGTTGAGTGTGTAGATTACAAAACGGCCATCAGTTCCTCTCATTCTTGTATGCATGCCCATTTGCAACATGACTGTGCTACTCTTCCCCTCAAGAGACAGTTTCTCCATCCTCTGAATCTGGGCCTGGCCATGTTACTTGTTCAGGCCTGTGGGAAACTGGCAAATGTGATGCAAGTAAAGCCCTGAAAAGCACTTGTGCCTTGGGACATACTTTTTGTTACTAGTGTCTGCTACCCTGAGAATGCCTACCAATGCTGGACTAGCCTACCACAGCAGAGCCCACATTGGGCAGAGATAAGCTGTTCCAGGTGAGGGCTCTTAGGATAAGTAACCTGCTAACTGCTAGAGACTAGAATGAGGCCATTCTGGATCATCCAGCTTCACATGGGCAGGCCCAGTCCAGGAGACCCAGCTGACATACAAAATCATGAGAAATAACAAACGTTTATTTTAAACTACTAAGTTTTTCCATGGTTCGTTCTGCTGCAAAAGCTTCCTGATACAGCTATACCGATAATGTATACAATTGATTAAGTCAATGGGAGGGTAGGACTATTCCTAACAAATTAAAAGGGACTCTGTGTGTTGTATTCCAAATGTAAATCAAATGTTCATTAACTGGTCACTTCTCTTTAATGAGCATTATTTTTTTAGCATTTTGGTCAAAATTACCTTTTCCAAGATGCTCTCTTTCTGCTGTTCTTTGAAGTCTTCTTTTTTGACTTTGAAGGACTTGTATAACAGCTCTAGTTTTGTAGGATCAGCCTGCAGATGTACTTCAGATCCCTTGTCATAGGCTTCCCAAGCAAACACTACAATGATCAAAAACATCTTAATGAGTTCTTGGCTACATTTATTGCATACTTCTTGAAAACAAGCTTTTAAAAATGCCTCCAAATTTCTTTTGAGCTGATATAAAATATCTTGACATAGAGCAAACACTTACACTGTGTCTGAGCCATGGAAATGGTATCTCCTGTGTATCTAACGAAGTTATCCCCTGCATAGCTCACTCTGTAGATGCAAATTTAAAAAATAAATTGTGAAATTTTGTCTGATCCCAGGAATTCAGCTAGATATCAAACCATTCAGAACACCTACAAACTCAACAGGAGATCGAAGAAAAGAATAGCAGCAACTCTCTGAACAGAAAAGCGACCACTTTCTGGAAGTTTCAGGGTTGTAATATCCTGGCAGAGAGGCACAATGTGGTGGCAAAAGAGTCAATTCTAGCGAGCTGCTGTAGATATGGCATCTTTGTGCCAGGTTTCCAGTTGTCAATAAATTGCATTGTTGGTCCTCAAAGCAAGATGCTCAGTTGAAACGTGTGAGAGCTCCCATCTGTGGTTCACTCATTTGGTGAGTAAGAGCATGCTAACCACCCCTTCCCAGCTGCAGCCAACAATATATGCTAGATATCAGCTAGTGGATCACCAAGCCTGGTCTTTTTTCCCCTCCACTTCAAATATTGCATTCCATCTATCTAACATTGTCACATATTCATCAGCTAGCCTCAGACTAGAGGATAAAGGAGTGATGGAAACATCCCTGGAGACTTGGAGATTTGCTTCTGGTTTTGATGGGATAGTATTCTGAGGATTCATACATTTACTGACCTCAATGACAGTGAGGTCAACATGACAATGCAGTGTGTATTGATGTGCTTCAATTCAGAAACTGCTCATTTATCGTTTATGTAAATAAAGCACTAGTCTTTCATCTTCCAATTATAACATGTTACTGAATTAATGTGATCAAAGATGAAGCTGGACTAATGTTAAAAAAAAATAAAAATAAAAAAATAAATAAAAAACAAATTGTTCTTTAAGGGAAGTTAATTCCTTTCTGACCCAACCACAGATGATGTTCATTTTAACTCAGATTCAGTTTTATAATTAAAAACTCTCCTCCCCCACCTTGAAATCTATACATTTAACTTGATACTTACTCATCTGGATTCTTTCCTGCGTTGGCATAGGGATTCTCTCTCATTGCTCTAGTTTTGGGATCATAGTAAGCAGAATTTGGATCTAAATTCCGCAGATACTAGAAGGAAAATGTTTTAAGGCTGCATTAATGTTTACTTCTGTCAAAAAAGATTTCAGATTAAGCAGAAGAGTTAATCATGATCATTTCATGTGTGTATGCATTTCCGAGGTATAGATGAAGAGAAAAAAACAATATGATACTTAATCTTGGAATGATGGCCTATATCACCCATATACTTGTCCAGATACCAGATGAGTAGACAAAATTTGGGGTGGGAAGACAAATATTTTTTGAATGTGTATGTTAAGTTGGCAAGGCTTACTTTTGCAATATCTTCTCGAATCCTGAGATTTCGGACAGTAATTCGTCTCTTAGAGTCAAAGTTCTGTCCAGGCATGTCAATATCATCTGCATATTTATCTTCATCCTCGTCTTCACTATTATGATCTTTTTCCTGAAGGAAGGGGAAAGGAAAAACAAATTATAAGAAAAAAAGAGTAACATCTAGTTCTTGCTTTCCCTGTAACCAAACTCTTATTCACTTACATTTCTTAAAGCTATTATTATTATTATTATTATTATTATTATTATTATTATTAGTCATCAGAAATTGAAAAATTTAATGTATACCCAGACAGGGTAAATATTTATTACCGTCTGAGAGTTTGGTTCCTCTTCTCCCCACTGGTGTTTTGGAGAATTCTACATTGTTCAAGAAGAAAAAGAATTTGTAATTTTACTCCACTGAATCTAGTGATTATTTAACACTTTAAATACATAGGTAAAATAATGTAATTTAAATCTAACTGAACAATTCCTATTTCTCATTGTAATCAACATGTAAATTCTGAATATAAGTATATTATTGTGAACAATTTTATCAGACTGTCTACAAAGCCAGAAAATTTCTAGAGAATTTTCAGTGATATAGGATTATAATCACACAAAGGTAAGAGGAACATTAAAATGACCAATGTACCCAATATATATTCATTTCTTATATGTTAACCACCTTCAGGCATATACCATTTTTGCTAAACCTCACTAATTTTCTATCAAATCTAAAGAAAATCTTACCAGGATCATGTAATAAGTATCTTTAGAGCCAAAACAGCTTTTGTAAAATTCAGGCAATGAAGGAATCTACTCAAGTGACACCATATTGTAATTTAAGGAGAGTCTGAGATCCTTGTCACAAAGACACCCTTCCTTCATTAGCATTGGTCAGGATTTTCTCTAACTACACAAAAGGCCTATAGCAAAGTAGTCAGCATTTTATCATGTCCCTTTAAAAGGCTTCAAAGGTTAAAAAGAGTACCTTAGAGCATGAGTGGGGGAATGTGGAAATATGAGTGAGTATGAATATATCTATCCTCTATACAAACACAATGACTGAGAGATATATATATATATTATCTATATATATTGATGGGGACATAAATTTGTATAGCTTTCCTGAATGGTACCTAAGTGATATGACATCAAAATTTTAAATAAAAATACTCATTGCATCAACAATTACACATTAAGGAATTTATCCTAAGAGAATAATAGATCAATTATATAAAGAGGTATGTACAAGAATGTGATTTACAGTGTTGTATATAATATCAAAAATCTGTGAAAAATCAAATTAATAATAGACAATTGGTTATATAAATTAGTGCACTCACTGAACGCTGAACATCCATTAAAAGTGATTTTATCCAATTTGCAGAAAAAAACCATATAATTTGCTACCTTTTTTGCTGTTATTGTTTAAAAAAGGGGGAGAGAAAGGTGGGAATAACATTGTCTATTTGTTTTTGTTTGTGAAACTCCGAAAGGATCCCACAAGAAAAATAAAACAGATTATGGGGGGGTGACGTTTAGAGACAGGGTAGATGGAGGCAAGAATGGGAGACTTTTTACTGTATATCTTCTTAAATTGCTTTGAGTTTTGAACCATGTGAATTTACATAAAAATAAGTCTATATTTAATGACAGATTTCAATGACATGAGCTCACTGCACTATATGTTAATTGAAAGAGTAGGTGATAAATAAGTATATAAAGATGAAATCCATGTTAAAAACATGTTGTATTATAATAACACACATATAGATATATATGGGTAGGTGGAGTGGGACCTGGAAACGCCTACTTCAAAAAGTTAATAGTTAACATAGGAGACACTTATTTTCTTCTTTATAATTTCCTATTTTTTCACTGAGTATGTATTACTTTCAGCATCAAAAAAATATATATCTTATTTTTTTTAATTTTATTTTTTAAGTGGGCGCCTGGGTGGCTCAATTGGTTAAGCGACTGCCTTCGGCTCAGGTCATGATCCTGGAGTCCCGGGATCGAGTCCTGCATCAGGCTCCCTGCTCAGCGGGGAGTCTGCTTCTCCCTCTGACCCTCTCCCCTCTTGTGCTCGCTATCTCTCATTCTCTCTCTCAAATAAATAAATAAAATCTTAAAAAAAAAAAAATTTTATTTTTTAAGTAATCTCTACACCCAATATGGGGTTCGAACTCACAACCCCAAGATCAGGAGTTGTACTTTCTACTGACTGAACCAGCCAGGCACCCCAGAAATATGTTTTTTGTTCCCACAAATTGTTAGGACAACAAAAAAAACATTTATACTGCCATACAGAAAGCTCAATCTCTATAGTAGACTATTCTACGGCATTTAATTAATATTAATATCTAAGTACTGAAGTGTGCAAAAATCATCAGTCCCCTATATACATTTAAGTATGCTTACTGGTGAAATAAATTAGACTGTGTTTACAACAAACAGAGAATATACTAGAATAAGAGAAACAGGCCGTTTTCCTTTTTCCAGAGTTGGTAATAATAATAGTTACCAATTACCGAGTGTTTATTTACTATGTGATACGATGCTAGGCCTCCTGGGGGGTAGGTGTTGTTGTCTCTACCTGAGATGATAAACTGAGGCTCAGAGAAATAAATTACTTTTTCTATGGCCCCCTCGCTGGCCAAGGGCAGAGCTATATTTTAACATATCTCTGTTAACCTGTGCTGTGAACCTGCCTGCCAGGTGGCCTCAGTGACTGCTCACTTGGTGATTATTTACTTAGGTCTGTTTGTAATTCGTACTTGCTGAGTCTTTTTTAGGAATTTAAACTCCAAATGTTTAACTTATTATTTATGTGTGCCATCAATTTGTAAAAAGAAAACTTTTAATAAGCACAATACACATTAACTATTAAATTGTCATGAATAAAAAATTGGTTGCAATACATCTTTACTCTAAATTTTTACTCAGCTATAAAATTATTACAGTCATTATGGAAAATGTAGAAAATACTAGTAAAAATACAAAGAAAAATTTACTAATTCTACAGTGAATGAGAATTAGTACTCTGATTTTTTTCCTATGTGATATTACAATATTTTTTTCATGTGTTATTTAAATGTGTTATTCACTGTTGTTACAAAGTATTGATAAAAGCCATTCTAAGAGCTATGCAACATTCTATCATGCAGATGTAGGACAGTTTACTTCAACTCCCTATTCCTGTTTAAGCTATTTCAATTTCTTGCTATTTTTTTTCTTTTTTAGGTTTGCTAATGTGCATTTAATCACCAAAGGACTGAAGATGTCTGGGCTTTTATTCTGTAATGTTTCTAAGACCGTGTCCATTAAATGCAAACAAAAAAGGAAGAAGTCTTGGCAGAACAGGAGAACTTGATGATCAGATCGATTTTAAATATTATTCATGGCATATAGCCTAGTCCATGCTCTAGCTGTTTCTATGGCTTGGGCTTCGTTGGTCTTCCACTGCTCCGCTACATCATTTGCTAATGGATCATCTGGATTGGGAGCACTTAACAAAGCCTGGATCAAGAGCAGAACTGTGCGGATCTGCAGTGCTGGGGACCACTTATCTTTCAAAATATCTAAACATATTCTTCCCAACTTGTCTACATTAGGATGATAAATTTTGGTCATGAAACGTACTTTAGGGGCTGCCATCGGGTATTCTTCTGGTAGGAATAGTTCAAGCTTAAAAGTCCCTCGCTCAAAGGGGGAATCCTGGGGGCCAGCAATGACCACATGAAAATAACGGGCGTTGCTCTCATCTGGTTCTGCTTTAATGCCAGGAACTGGTTCTGCCAGCAAACGCTGGGTTTCCTTGATAATCCTGCGGGGCAGCCCGGCCATCTTGTCAGATCCCGAGTTCGGCCTCTGGTCTCGACTCCGGCTCCGCTCGCCTCACGCACGAGTGGAAGTCCCTCAATTTCTTGCTATTTTAAAAAGTACTACAATGAACATCTTTGCATATGTGATCTTTTTTTTTCTGATTACTAGAAAATTCTTTAGGATGGAAGGACCTACTGATTTAATTCCAGAAAATGTATATAAATATCTTATGGCAATATTCTTTCCAAAATGATTGTGTCAAGGTATGTTCCTTGACACAAGGTATAGAAGCGCCAGTTTTAGTCTCTCCCCTCAATTGCACTCCTCTCTTCCTAAATCTTTTCTAACTGGAGAAATGTAAGATGAATTCTTGTTTTGATTTTCATTTTTGTTTACTAAGAGTTTGAATTTTTTTAATGGATCATTTTTATTACTTACAGCCTGTTCCACTAATTTTCCTGAGGCTAATTCTTCTTGGAGTTTCTGCGCTTTCAGTGTTCGTTTTGCCTAACAAAAAAGGAAACGTGAAATTTACTTTACAACATTCAAATGAACTTTTGATTTTTATATACTTAAAATCAATATATTTATTGTTTTCAGAAAGGTCACTAAACAAGGTCATCTCTTTGAGATTTCTTGTAGCTCTATATCTATGATTTCTAAATAACAGGAGTTATAAACTCCTGTTTCAACCACGCATTAATGTAAACTGAGTCAAACAGTGCCAGTGATGAAACTGCAGAGAACAAGCCCTGTCCAAAAGTGGCAGCTGTCACCTGGCCCCAGATGACTGATGCCTGCCCGGCAGGCCCAGAATTACCATATATTTCTTTGTTCAAGAACAGATGAAATTTGCATTATGTGAAATCCCGTGATTTTTAAATGTAAACTCTACTTAAGAAAAAAAAAAAGGGCAGCGTGACTGTGGACTTTAAGGAATGGGGGTGAGTAGGTAAAATTATAACAAAAAAAACCCACTGAAGATGAATGAAAATAAAATTCAATTTTCTGAAATGCATTATTCTAGTCTCCTTTCACTTCTCTCAAATGCTACGTGAGACAACTGTAAAATAGGCCCAGACAAGATGCAGTGTGTGGGGCTGGGAAAGAGTTTATAACCTTAAAAAGCTAAAAGCCTTAGATACCTAATCCTTCTCATGCTTCCAATTTCTCATGCAACCTCAGGAAGTAAAAAACAATACAAGTATCAAATAAGAAGAAACCACTGCCAATACGGTTAGCACACTTTTCACTATTCCATCAGACCTTCTACTACTATAATAAAAATGCCACCATCTTTATATTGCTCGAAGACTTGAAAAACAGAGTTGCTTAATCAATGATACAGCAAAACGTACATTCTTTAAAGAGTGTGGAAAAGCAGGGAACTTTGCTCACCAGATCAACTTTGGCATATTCTTCCACAATTTTCATGTGTTCCTCTGGATTGTAGCCATTCCATCGATCCCTCTTCCCATCATAGTCAAACATCAGCTGAGGCTGGACATGTTCATCTGGAGCTATATTAGTACCTGTAAATTTTGCTCCAACTCGCCTAGGTCTCTGGGAAATAGAATAAAATCAAACCTTTTCCTAAGTTCCTGTAGCCTAGAGGAAAGTTTCAGATGACGTTTACAAAGCAAGCATGAACATATCATGGGAGTTTATGGTCTGTTCAATTATCAGTTACTCTTCCCAGCAGAAAATTTTGATGGTGCTAAACTAATTTCACTCAAATTAATTTTTATTTAACTTGTACCAAAATTTAGGTAATTTTAGACAAACAGAATTAAGCTCTTTGACAGGAAAAAAGAAAGAGGCTTTCTGACAAGTTTCTAAAATTCTCAAAAGTGAACTTACCTCAAAGCAGTCTTTCTTTTTGTGTGTCATGGCCCCACAATTTTCACATGCTCCCTTGCGGTACTTAGTAGTTATGGAATTCTATAAATGGATATAAAGACAAACAAAATGTTTTACTTCTGAATAAGTTACAAATAATTTTGGCTCTCATTACTATATTGTCTAGTGAAGCGATTTACTCATTAAGAGAAAAACTACTCAGAGTCTCCATACTTTTATAAATGAGAAAGTTTCGGTACTTTATTTTATGGTAATAGTTTTTTTTTTTTTTTTAAGGATTTTATTTATTTATTTGACAGAATAAGAGAGCAGGAGAGCGCTAGCAGGGGGAGCAGCAGAGGGAGAGGGAGAAGTAGGCCCCCCGCCGAGCAGGGAGGCCGATGTGGGGCTCGATCCCAGGATCCTGGGATCATGACCTGAGCCGAAGGCAGTTGCTTAACCAACTGAGCCACCCAGGCGCCCCGAGAAAGTTTAAGTCCTGTAGCAACATAAAACTTATAAAACACAGAAATGAAAGTAGTACATACTGTGAATTTTAATCCCAGGTAAAAGGTTATATAATCTGATATAACTTGATTAAAAGTTCTTATATTAAGTTCTTAAAATAAAATCTCCATTTTCACAAGGAGATATATAAAAGCTGTCCACATACCTCTTTTACACCCCTCTTGTACCATTCTCCAGATGAGCTGTACTGCTTTTGTTTCTCTGGTTGTGGTCTCTGGTGCTTTAAAGTAGGTCTTTTTGATGGATCAATATACCATGGCACTGAAGAAATATACTGAGGTATATGAGGGTTGATGTCTCTGTAATTTAAAAAAATATATATATATTTTAAGAATAAAGTTTGAAAATAATTGGTATTACAATTACAAAGGCAGCCTACACAGACTGTAAGAACAGAGAGTGCAGTGGGAGGGTGGAGAGAGAACACGCTCCATATCTCTATAATACAGTAAAAACAAACAAACAAAAAACATACACCTAAAAATAAGGAAAGTAATTTATTTTAGAGTGAAAGAATTTCCAATATAGCAACTAAGAAAAGTGATAGAACTGAAGTCGGGAGAGAGAGAAGGAAGATAGGGATGTATGCTAGTAGATAAATCTTAAAAGAGCAAGAAGCTAGCTAAAGATGACTAGAGTTGATTAAAATAATGATGTGGATACATTATTTAGAGATGTGGAGGTATCACCCGGAAAAACTCAAAATAGAGATTTAAAAGTAGTCACTTTTGCAGAGTGGGACAGGAAGTGCGAAGAGTTGAAAGCGTTGACTGCTGTTCATTAGAAGCCCTTCGATACTTTATTATTAAATCTTAATATATGAATTTGATAAAATAATAAAAACAGAAAGGATGTAAATGGTAAAAATAGTTTCCCGTCAAAGCAAAAGATGAGAAATTGCTAAACTAAGTAGACATAAATTTGAATTTTGAATGAACAGATCATGCAGACAATGAATGTACTTACTTTCCTTCTTCATCAACTTCTGCTGGAGCATTACCCAGTTTTCGCTGTTCTTCTAGCTCCTTCTTCTTTCTCCAGTCCTCTCTGGTCATCTTCTTTGGTTCCTCCAGACTCATTTCTTTGGACCCCGACAGGGGGGCCGCATTAACTGCATCCACAGCTGCAGCTGACATGGTTATCTGGACCCCTCTGTGAAAAAAAAAAAAAAAAAAATATATATATATATATGTATATATATATATTAGTATAAACTAAGCCTTCATGAGTTCATCAGTGAAACTATCAAAAGTACACCCTAATAACACATCCTGCAGTCTCATTTATACATAATATTTCATACGTTCTTATAGTATCTGTGAGGGAAGGGTCTCTTTCCCCTCTACAAAAAGTCTCTATATACTGTTTGCAGTTCCTCCCTCAACTCTAATTTACAGATGGAGAGAAACATACACACGTGTACTTAAAATTTCATAAGACTCTTTCTCTCCTTAATACTCCTGAATTTCTCTATGTGTCTCAAACTTTTCTAGCACATTAACCCTACATGAGTAAACAGTGTCCTATTTTCCTTAAAGACGAAATGGCTTAAGAGTTATCTATATCCACTGCCTCTATTTTCCCATCTTCTACTTCCTTCCTCAGTCACTCTAATTTAGCTTCTACCTCCTATCTCTCTGAAGAGTTACCACTAAGTTATCAGTGATCAATGTGCTAAATCCACTAGATATTTTTCAGTTCCTTTCCTTCCCTTTTTAAAAAATATTTTATTTAGAATTTATTTTAAAGATTTTATTTATATATTTGTGTGTGTGTATGTGTTGTGGGGGGAGAATGAGCAGGGAGAGGGGCAGAGGGAAAAGCAGACTCCCCGCTGAGCAGGGAGCCTGACATGGAGCTCTATCCCAGGACCCTGGGATCATGACCCAAGCCAAAGGCAGATACTTAACTCACTGCCACCCAGGTGACCCAAGATTTATTTATTTTAGAGGGAAAGAGAGCGCACGCACAGGCGTGGGGGGCGGGCAGAGGGAGAGGGAGGGAGAAAAGTGGACTCCCTGCTGAGCGGGAACCTGAACAGACATGAGGCTCAATCCCAGGACCCTAAGAGCATGACATCAGCTGAAATCAGGAGTTGGATGCTCAACCAACTGAGCCACCCAGGCGCCCCTTGTTGAAACATTCTTATCTTTTGGCTTAAGTGACACTATTTGAAACATTCCCTTCTTGAAACAGTCTTATCTCTTGGCTTAAGTGACACTATTATCTCTTGGTTTTTCTTCAATCTCTCCTGCTGCTCCTGCCTTCATCTATTTCTGTCTAGTTATTTAATTTTGGATTCCACAAGGCTCAGTCCTAGAGTCTCTTTCATCACTCTGGACTCCATCAGTAGACAAGCTCATCTATTTCTAAAGCTTAAATAGCCACAATATACCACTGTTAGCTCTCCAACTTATTTCTTCTCTCCAGATATTTTATCTGAGCTTCAGATACATATATTCCAACTGCTTACTTCACAGAATCTCCATTTAGAGGGTCTCAGAGACACCTAAACTCAACAAAGCTTAATTCAAACTCATGATCTTCTCCATGGAATGTCGTCTCCATTCACCGTCTCCTCTTAATGAAAAATACCACTCATACCTTTACACATGTGTTCCAGCTAACCTCCATAAATATTTAATCACTAAATATTGTTTTTTTCATCTTCTGAATAGCATTCAAATTTATTTACTTCTCTCTATTCTCAATGCTACCATTTTAATATGTTATTACTTTTCCTTCCTTATTGGTCTCCTGTCCTTTCCAATCAGTTCTCCACACTGCAGTGTTATTTTTTTTAGAACACAAGTCTGATCATGTCACATTCCACTACACAAGCGAAAAATCCTTCAGTGAGAGGCTGTCCAAGATAAATATGTCAGCCTCATACATCACTTTAAGCGTTCCAGTTAATCATATTAAGATGGTAAAAAGGAGCTGGTAAAATTACTTTTACAATCTCTTAATTTAATCCAATATAGCCAACATATTATTTTAACATGCAAGCAACATAAGAAAAAATAAAGTCTTTAAAATCTGATACAGATTGTACACGTATTCAGACTAGCCATATTTCAAGTGCTCAGGAGCCACAAGTGGCTAATAGCTGGAAGTGAAGCTCCAATAACATCTGATAATTCTTACTCTAAAAACCGTTAAAGACACACTTCTGGTCTGGCCGGGCCTTAAAAAAAAAAAAAAAAAAGTACCGAGAACACACAACAGCTTAAGCCTCAGTTACAGAGTCTGAGGCCTAGGACGGCGGCTTTCTTCTCGGTCCCCAATGCCTGTTCCCTCCTCGACCTGGAATTCAAAATTGCTGTAACGATGTATCTAAGAAGTATCACTATCCGCTCAGGTCATGATCCCAGGGTTCTGGGATCCAGTACCCGCCCCCCACCCCGCAACCATCGGGCTCCTTGCTCAGCGTGGAATCTGCTTCTCCCTCTTTGGGCCACTCACCCGCTTGTGCGTGCCGACGCTCTCTCTCTGACAAAATCTTAAGTAGGCACTCCGGTCTACTTTCCGGAGTTTTCCAGCCTCACCTCCTCCCCATCCCCAAATTCCCACATTTCCTTACCCAGTCGGGCCACAGCCGACCCCAACACCACCCGACAAAAAAGAAGTCAATCCGTCAATGTTTACTTCCTGGCTTTCCGCCCTCTCCCGGCAGCCACTGCGGTAGCTTCCGGGCGAGCTACACATGCGCACTAACATTTTGGGGGGGGCCTCAGGGTCCCACGCGATGTTGTTATCGCGAGATGTTTTTACCTCGGGAAAGAGAAAGGGGTTAGTTTGAGCTGCTCTAGAAGTTTGAAATGTTTTTTGCAGAATCTTAGGACGTTAAAAAAAAAAGAAAGTACTGAGAACACACAACAGCTTAAGCCTTTCTACAGAACTATGTAATGAATGGGGAAGTTCGTGACATATTAATTAAAAAAAAAACACTGCGTAACACTGGGGGCGTGATGAGTAAAAAGAGTCTTTAGTTCCTCGAAATTACATCATACAGAGTGAAAAAGACACTAAAATGATTATTCAAATAATTTATAGTTGTAAAAAGTCTCTGTGAAAGGAATACCAGATGCTATGAGAACATAAGGCACTATTTGGTAATTGTGACATTCTGCACCGAAGTGAGCTTGTGTTTTATCATTAGAAAAAAAATACTATAAAACAATTTCTATTTTGGGAAAACAATAGTATCTATGCCATCCCAACCGTCTTTTTTTTTTTTTTTTTTTTAAGATTTGTTTATTAGAGAGAGAGTGAGAAGCAGACTCCCTGCTGAGCAGAGAGCCCGACGTGGGGCTGGATCCCAGGCCCCTGAAATCATGACCTGAGTGGAAGGCAGACGCTTAACCAACTGAGCCACGCAGGCAACCCCCAACCCTCCTTTTAATAAAGTACATGTATGGGGAGGCCTGGGTGGCTCAGTTGGTTAAGCTCTACCTTCTGCTCAGGCCATGATCCCAGGGTTCTGGGATCCAGTACCCCCATCCCCCCCAGCATTCGGCTCCTTGCTCAGCGTGGAGCCTGCTTCTTCCTCTTTGGGCCACACACCCTGTTTGTGCATGCAGACTCTCTCTCTGATGAATAAATAAATAAAATCTTAAAAAAAAAAAGTACAAGTATGAGGGTGCCTGGGTGGCTCAGTTGGTTAAATGTCTGCCTTCTGCTCAGGTCATGATCCCAGAGTCCTGGGATCAAGCTCGCGCCTGGTATGGGGCTCCCTGCTTAGCGGGAAGTCCGCTTCTCTCTCTCCCTCTGCCCCTCCCCCTGCTCATTCTCTCTTTATCTCAAAAAAATAAATAAATAAAATCTTTAAAAAAAAGTACATGTATGAAGTAAGACAAAATACTGGAAAAAAAGCAGTAATTTTGGTTGAATTTCTTATGTTTTTTCTTCTATGTGCTGTTGTCATTTTTAAAATTTTTCAAGATATGTATCGCATTTATGTATTTATTTATTTATAGAGAGACGGAGAGAGGGTGAGCAGGGGGACGGGCAGAGGGACAGGGAGAAAATCCTCAAGCAGACTCCCCACTTAGCACAGAGCCTATTGCAGGACTCGATCTGGAACCCCAACATCATGACCTGAGTTGAAATCAAGACCGTCGTTTAGCCGAGTGAGCTGCCCAGGTGCTCCATCATGTATTGCTTTTGAAAGTAGAAGTGAGGGGCGCCTGGGTGGCTCAGTCAATTAAGCGTCTGCCTTCGGCTTCTGGAGTCCTAGAATTGAGCCCCAAGTCAGGCTCCCTGCTTAGTGGGGAGTCTGCTCCTCCCCTCTCCCCCCTCATGCTCTCTCTCTCTCAAATAAATAAATCTTAAAAACATGTAAAAGTGAAAATAGCTTACATCCTTGTCTCAATAAAAGCCTCTCATAATATAATCTTAAGTTTTTTCTTATTAAAGATTTGCAGGGCCTAGAGTTTAGGAATGTGAATACTAATTTTGATTTTGCAGGGCAATAGGTGAGGGAATAGAAAGAGTTAGAGAGTAGCCTGAAAGTGAATAGTCTCTGAATAACCCACCTTTTGTTTTCATCTCTTTCAACAATTCCTGAAATCTGCTTGGAAGTGGTGAGGCCTGTTTTAAAACTCCCAGGCACCAGCTAGGGAACACATCTCCCAGAGGAATCATATGGTGTACTAGAAGAGAAGGAAGAACCTTTTGTAAAGTTTGGGTTCCCCCTGGAGGATTCAGAGGAGAGTATAGGGAAGCAAGGGGTCAGTTCTAGATGGGTTGCTGTTTGTAAATCAGGATTAGAATAAACTGGGATTGATTAGGATCTAGGTGCTGTGATAAATTGAGGGTGTTTACTAATTGGGTAACCTAGTAAGAGTAGGGAGTAGTAAAGCGGGTCTGGGGCATCATTGGTGACAAAACAATAATCATTCAAAGAGGGGGTGGTCAAAGCATACAGTTGACCTTGGGAGACACAGTGCTTCCTGTTGTAAGGGGAAGACTTAACCAGGGGAGATACAAATCTTGCCCCCGAAGACCTTAGGAGATAGAGGATTCCCACTTCGAAGCTGTAGGTGATGTACAGCTATGGTTTCAAAGTGAACGCTTTTGTGTGCTGATGATGCAAGATAGAGTTGAAATATTTAGAGGGAGATACAGGGGGAGAGTAAAGAGAGGAGTGGGAATAAAAGGAAAAGGGCAGGGAAGGGGCAATAAGGGTGTGCATGGTTTTTGTCCTTTTTACCTTCTTTTTTTTATTTTTTTATTTTTTAAAGATTTTATTGATTTATTTGACAGAGAGAGACACAGCGAGAGAGGGAACACAAGCAGGGAGAGTGGGAGAGGGAGAAGCAGGCTTCCTGAGGAGCAGGAAGCCCGATGCGGGCTCAATCCCAGGACCCTGGGATCCTGACCTGAGCCGAAGGCAGACGCTTAACGACTGAGCCACCCACGCGCCCCTCCTTTTTACCTTCTTGAATTAGGATCTTTTCTTCTTGATGCCTAGCCCAGTGTCTAGCACTTAATCAATATTCAATAAATACTTACTGAATGAATTAATCCTTCAACCAATTTTGGTTCCGAAATGCCAGGAAGAAGGGCCAATGAACTGACATATATTGAGAACTGCATCTCTGCTAGGTGTAGTGCTAATTCTTTTGTGAAATAATGTAGGCTCAGCTGCTCTCTCTCAGCTCACCTACAAGTTAGAATGCATCTAGTGACCTGTGGGGAGTAGGTCAGTGTTGGTCTTTTGATTTTATTCCTTTACCTTGTATTTGTTTAATCTATTTCCACTTACTATAGAAATATGAAAAGGTCATTAATTTTTTCAAGCATAGTTTCTCCCCATATCTTGGAAATTGGAATTCCTTATCTATATTTTTATTATTTTTATTATTTCCCAGATCTTTTTCTCCCTCTTGTGCCCTCCACCACCAGGCCTTTCCAGGCAGCTGTGACGAATGTATTGTTAAGATACAGAGGTTTAAAATAAGGTTAAGAGGCTTAAAATAAGTCCCATTAAATGATAGAATTTGAAAGGAAGCCTGAATTATGTACTCCTTAGGATCATCATTTTGTTCATAACCCAGATTCTTGATGCTATAATAGAAACAGCATCCTAGCTTGAAATATTGAGGGTAGTTCTCTAGTTAGGGAATAGTCAGTCCATTCTTAATCACAAGCCTAACAGAAAGACTCAAACATTGCTGTTTGATCTGTTTGTATTTACATTGCTTCTTAACCTTTAAAGATTTATTTATTTGAGAGAGAGCAATGTGAGTGATGGGGGGAGGGGCAGGGGGGGAGAGAGAGAGAGAAAGAGAGAGAGAGAGAAAATCCTGAAGCAGGCTCCCCGCTGAGCGTGGGCGGGGAGGTGGGGGGGGGACTTGATCCCAAGACCCTCAGATCTTGACCTGAGCCAAAAATCCAAGAGCAGTCCACTTAACCGACTGAGCCACCCAGTGCTCTGCTAGAGTTCTTTAGCGAGAATCTGAGTTGTTTTAGCACTTGACTGTATTTTTTTCATATATCTAATTGAAGTACAACTATGTGTATCCATAGTTCCTCATTTTTCCAATGACTGCAATCCCTTTCCTCCAGGGCTGCATCTTCTTTTTTATTTGATCTGTTCTATTTACTTTTTGGGCAAATAGTTAATTGAAGACTTTAGGAAAATAGTTCTGTCGCCACTTTGCCTTGACTGAACCCCACAATCTTTTCATTTAAGAACTTCCTGGCCACCTAAGTGTCTCAGGAAAAAAACCCCAAACTCTGTATCTTGATATCATAATAATCATTTATTTCCTGGAATTGAAGACCATATTCACTCCCTTTCTACCTCTGTGAGGAGCAGGTTAACAACACCTAGAAGTAAAGGTGTCAGCAGGTTTGGTTTTTTTCTTCCCACGAAGCAAGCTACAAACTTCCCGGGAAAAGCTTTCCAGGCGGTGCCGCGGGAGCTTGGGTTCCTCCCATTGGTTCTTTCTGGGAGCCTCCGCCCACCCACGGTCCCGCCTCCTGGGAAGATGAACCAATAGGGGCGTGAGTTGTGGTTTAAACTCGGAGTACGGCGAGGTCGCTGGAGACCGAATCTTGGTTGAATTTGGCTGTGGATTCCGACGTGGGTGGACGGTGAGGTCGTGAGTGGCTGGGCGCGCGGGTCCCGCGAGGAAGGCGGTGGGCTGGAGGCCGGAGGGCCTGGGGGTCGGGGGCTGGGGCTTCCTGGGGTCGTCTGTAGCGCTGAGCCGCTTTGAGCCACGGCCTCGGACTGCTTGCGCAGCCCTCGTTCTGAGGAGTACCAGGACCTGTGCCAGCCCCAAACCGCCGACTCTTCTGGAACTTAGAGCCTCCGGCGTAGGCTTCAAGAGTTAAGAGCTGGATTAAATGCCTGTTGGCTCAAGAACGGGCTTCGCTCGCTCCTTAGCTCTAGTTTTTACGTGGACGTGCCCAGGGTAGAAAGTTTGGTCTGTGCTACACCTTCGCTTCTCTCATCTTCCCTAACCCCTCGAGTCTAATCTGCGTTTCATACCCGCAGCTAGTCCAGAATGGCTACCCTGATCTTTGTTGATAAGGAAAATGGAGAACCAGGCACCCGTGTGGCTCCCAAGGACGGGCTGAAGCCGGGGTCTAGGCCTCGTAAGTATACAGGCTGCAACGCGAGTTACAGGTATTGTGAATCAATTGTGGGCGTGGCCCGGAGTTGGAGAAGCATTCCGTGTACTTCGTTGGCAACTTGAGTC